AAGGAGAAGGGGATAAAAGAAAACGAAAAGCCGCCAAAAAAAGATGACAAACAAGGAAAAGGCAACAAACCGCAAATGTAGAGGCGGCAGAACAAGTTGACATAAAATGAAAGCCAGGAAAAATGTCGCTTCGAAAATATTTTTAAAAACAATGCTGTCGCTTCTACTTTTTTATGTTGTTCACAAGGGTCTGGAAACTGACACAGATATGTTGGGGGACATGCTCGCCAGATTACTGGTGCTTCAAGGCCATTTTCCCTTGCCTTTGGCACATGTGTGAGAGAGAGAGAGAAGTGAAACACAACATGCAAGATATTCGGAGAACTGCAGCCACTCTCAAAGAATCACCCCAGTCATGAAAAGGACGCTGCTGTTTACTAATCTTCGCAAGTACAAACGACCGAGGGTCCACGTGTCATCTAGACACAAGTGGTTAACAGGGACCCACACTTAAAGGAGGGGGGGGGGAAAGAAAACAGACCACTTGTCTCATGCTTTCAAAGAGCGTGAGAGTGAGTAGGTGAAGTGGGTGATTGAGTGTGGATGAGCCAGGGGTGAAGCAAGAGTGAGTAACCGAGAGTTTGGGTGATGAGAGAGTCCACAGGTCACTTCTGCCCAAAGTTGTGATACTGACGGAAGAACGATAGTGCCATGTGGAAAACACTTGGACAGGCATTTGGTGGCATCTCTTGCAAAGACTCTTCTCGCACAATTCAAGGCCTCTCTGACGACAGCTTGCCGTTTTAAAAAAAAAAAGAAAAAAAGTCGGGGTTTTGACAGGGAAAATACATGCACGTCCATTGCGCTCAAATAAAACCACAGCACATATACCCAAGCAGGCATGAAACAGCATAGTGGACCAGAAATACAAACATTTCAGGGGGTGTCCGTTGACTCGACTCGCATAGGAAAACTACACCGCATATTTCATTCAAAACAGGGGTGCATACCCCGACGGTTGGCGGCCCTTGACTGGTCGTCACCTACCGGTCAGGGGCCGTCGGCACCCCGCAACCCCTAACAACCCCACCAACACCCCCATAGCCACCCCCAATACCCCCATACAACCCCCCCAACACCCCCAAAACGCCCCCCAACACCCTCATCCCCCCCCTCCCCAATATAACCCTATACCCCCACTACACCCCGCCCCCCATCCCCAAAAGTTTCTCAGCGGATTGGGGCTGCACTCAGCAAGCGCAGTTTGGCCCCCGACTCCGATTTTAAAAAATAATTCAGTCAATGGCTGTTTTCTGACGGGTCAGCAGACCACCGACCGGTCGGCCCTACTGGTCGGCTGCAAATCGATCGGCGGGCGGGGTCGGCGATCGGCAGGTATGCAACCCTGATTCTCTGCAAAGAGGCAAGCAGACAAATCTATGCAGTGTTGTTATCAGGAACCGGACATCTGACTGGATATTGTTTCAAAGAATGGGCATGTCGTACATGCTAAACAAAGCACGTGTGCTTTGTTTCATAAAAAGCATGTATTGGGTTCAAGGGCTTCTCCACAGTAAGGGCATAATTTAAAGGGGTCCAGAAGGGGTACTCTTAACTAAGCATGTATTGGGTTCAAGGGCTTCTCCACAGTAAGGGCATAATTTAAAGGGGTCCAGAAGGGGTACTCTTAACTACTTAATATAGCAATTATTGATTAATGTTTTTTTGTCGCTTGTGTTTTATGTTTTGTGATTTTATCTCTAATTCTGTTCGCAATTTCAAGGTGAATTCAAATGAGCCTTCCGAAATGCTAGGGGGCTCAAGACAGCGCCCGCCTGGGGGAGGGCGGGGTTCTTTTTTTGTCCAGGGCTACGCCTAGTTCCACCCCACAGCATGGGACAATTTTTTTTTCTTCTGGCCCTTGCGACGCCCTGTCCCGAGCCTCCTAAATTTCAGGAGAGGCTCAGTCATGAGTCTCAACTTGGCGGGGCCCATTTACTGGAGGCTTAGTTGTATTATCGCCCTCTATAGCATTTTTTCTAGGCTGGTCCCCGGGCCGCCCGGCGGACTGGTCGTCGCCCCGGGGGGGGGGGGGCACCTGGCCGGTTGTCACTCCCGGTTGGCCACCGGGCGCCCCGCATCAGTGTAGGTTATTTTATTTTATTTTTTTCGGCGCTGGGGGCCTTTTCACCCTCATGGCAGACTATGCAGACCACGAAAAAAAAAAAGTGGGGCCGGCAGGCCCAATTTCACCGATTCGAAATCGGGCCCGATCTGGATCGATCTCAAAGATCGACGGCCCAGATGGCCACGATTTCAAATCGGTGAGGGCGGGAACTACCGGCCCCCATTCCCTCGCCCATTCTCACGTTGTACCCCCTACCGTCTTCCCCCGAACATGACGCACCCTAAAAATGAATGTATACGAGTCATATTTCCGGCCAGATAGAGCCAAAACGAGGGTGCCTTGTGTTCGGGGGAAGACGGGTCCCCCGTTCCCTGCCCTGCAGTTCTGTAACTAGCCAAACTTCAACGCGGAACTTCGACGCCGCCAGCACCTGCCAACGCCCGCCGTCGTCTGCCATCGCGGTTCCTCGCCAATTTTTGCGGTGCGTCATGGGATAGTGTCTCATGAGACCCGCTTCCTACTGTATTCATTCAGTCCTTTTCATTTCAACGGTCTAGTGTACAAGATCGTTGCGCTTCACCGGCGGCCACGGATAGAGGGACGAAAGGAACGGCAACAAAGGGACTGTTACAAAGCAGAAACAGAAAGCACCATCTATAGCCTAAACAATCTCCCCACCCCTCCCTCTCTGTCTCTGCCTCTATCTTCTCCCACTTCCAAAAGAAACGGATTCCCCATCAACTCTTGTGACAGCGCATATCCACAACCTTGATCTATGCAAGCTGTTCTGCATTTGCGTTTCGTCAATGTCATTTCCATGAATGTGAAGTCTGGACATTTCCTCTCCTCATGACTTAACCTCCCTCAACTCACCCATGCAAAGCATCTTGGAGCACACCCATCTCTACTGCTCAATCTACATACCCTCTATTCCACCCTTCCCTGCACATTTACCCCACATTGCGAATGCAATTGAAAGAACCTCGTTCACAGATCCATCAAATGGACTGTGACCCTCAATCAATCACTCAATGGATTGACTGGCTGCATGATGGGAAAGAATAGCACATTTGGCATACTCACCATAAAATCCCGATAATATGAAGCAATGATTTCCTGTTGCAGCTTGAAACTCTGCTGAGCAAACGGGATGTCCATGGCAAATACTGCAAACTTATGGAGGTTCTTTTGGCCATACGCTTCCTCATATACTGCGATGAACTATATTCGTGGTAACCCTAGGAATAAGCAGGTCAATTGGAGTGATGCTTTGCACCTTACCCTTGTGCTGGACAGCATTTACATTCTGCCAGAATCTAATCGCCAAGTTCCTGAGGCAAAAAAGCACAGAACAGCACTTACATTCTGCCAGAATCTAATCGCCAAGTTCCAGAGGCAAAAAAGCACAGAGAGCCCTTACCTTGGTGCCAGACAGCATTCCTCTGGACTATTATCACAGTCGATCCTCTAGAGTGAAATGTAATCTCAAGTGTAGGTCATATTCTTGTCGGTTCGGGGAGTGAAACCGTGCTAGTCACCAAGTGAATCACTCACTTTGGCAACGTCAAGTGGGACCTTGGAGATGTCCGCAACGAGGCCGACATTTCTGCAACTCGGGCACTAGGTCGCCATCGGGTGGACTCTTGACGGAACAGACCACTTCGTGTTTGCAAGTCCTTTTGATCCAATCACATGATGTTGAACAGGTACCACTGCCACATCGTAGCCTTGGACATGTCAGGTCAGCAACTGATGTGTCAGGTAACTCAGTTGCTGATTGGATTCTCATGGAACAGCCAGTTCCAGTCGCACGCATGGGAAGGCAACTCACCAAGGAGACCTTGGGAAAGTAAGTAGACAACGAGTCAGTGAGCAACTGTTATCGCCATCATTGCGGTTGGTCTGAGGGCATAGCTATTAACTACAGCACCCACAGGTTATTTTAAAAGGAGCCCGCGACGTATATTCAAGGACACACTAAAACATTCTTACAGGAGTTCCTCTCTTATTCTTCGTCTGGTTGTCCATCGTTCAGACACGGGTAGGGCTATATACCCTCCTGTTGCTTCTTGCCATTTTAGGGTAAGTTCGTCGTTCGTAGAAAGCAAAAACCATCTAATCAATAGTCAGAAATAGAGAATCTCAATCGGTATCCCACGCCGACCTAAGAAACATGTGTGCCAACCATGCACTCCTCCCTCACAGTATGTGAATGCCCCACAGTTTGTTTTTCAAATATCTCATTTGCCATATGGCATCCCAGGAGAGATCCCACTCCCAGATTCGTCATTTACTATGTGAGCAACAGCCAACTCCGCAAACCACGATGTCAAACACTTCTGGTTCTTTGAGCCGAGTCAGAAACCAAAACAAGTCGAGAACAAGACAAAGCACACAAAACAGGACAACTTTCTTTTGACACCCACTTGCACATAAACATTTTCTTTCAGCTTACAATACAAATCAAAACAGGACTTTTCTCTTCATCTTCTTACAGCCGGGGAAACAGCTATCATCCTGTCCTGTCACAACAGTAACCCACCCACGAAAACTGCCATCAATATAGAACCACATACACAGCCATGCCACCACAGTCCTCGAACTTGACTAAGATCATTGCACCACAGCGGGCAAGAGAGAGAGAGAGAGAGCGGGTGTTACGGCGTCGCATTCTGGATGTCGACAGCCAACAACCACCATTGGTGCTGCTCAACCTGCAATCCAACTGCCTGCGAGTGACCGTGTCCGCACCGCAGAGTGCACAATGGACACCTGCAGATGATAAAAATTGTGTTCTTCAATGTGAGACAACAAAGGGAGCATCCTGAGCCACAAACACAGCACACAAAGGACCTCTCGATCCATACAACCACCATGGCATGTGTCCATTGAAAGAAACAAGTCCAACGCAAGCAACACTGGCAACACATACCATTGAAGAAGCCACCTGCTGAGTGTGCGGCTTGAGGATCCTCGTACGTCAGTGTACCATCACCTTTGTTCCTCCCGCTCTCATCCTGGTACAGCTTGATGTTGAAGGGCCACTGGTCCTTGTACCCACGTTTCTGCTTTATCCTCGCAACCTGCCAGCATCAGGTGTGCAAACATCACGACCCATTTGCAGGCAGTGAGATATAGTTAAAACCGCACTCTACTTCTAAGGACCATCATCGTTCCCTCACTCGAGCTGAGAGAGAGAACCACCACACGAGCAAGTCCATGTAACAGACACCACACATGTTCCACAAACGGATTCAGTAATCAAACTGTGGTCAGCCCGGGGAACACGAGAAAACATATTGAAAAACCATATACAACAAGGGTGTCCACCATCATCAGAAACGGATAAAAAGACAGAAGTCTCCTAAGAAAGAGAGGGCGAATAGGAGTCGTCGCTGTTCACATGCAAGGCATCAGAACCACTTCAAAAGCAGCAGCCGCCAGAGGGCTAAACGGAATGTGTTTGGGAAAGTTAAATCGGAAAACGAGAGGGAACAACAAACGGGCATGGAGAAAAATTCTAGATTCCCTCTCAGTTGACATTAGCAACATCCTTTAGAGGTGGAACTTGACACTGGACCTATCCCAAGAGCAATATCCAAACCATGCTGGATCGGATACCACGCTCAAATCTCAGCCAACCTTGCTTCCATAGCAACTCTGCAGAACAATTCTCCCCACACAATTGTTCACACGCTGAAATCTGACCATTGAATTCTTCATTCCAAACGTCCAGTTTCAAGACACTCGACCATCCAGATGTGAAGATCATGCTCACGGCCAACATGTCCCTGGGATCAGAGGCAATTGCTTCCCTCTTCAGGAGCAGCACGTTCTATCCCTCGCGATGATCCTTTAATTGGGAAAAGCGCGTGTTCTTTCCGGGTACCTTACTTTTCATTAGGAGTAAGATTCATATCCACAGCCAATCTTCTATGTCAGAGCACCTTACAACAAAAACACGCCTAAGGGCACCGAACCTTTGTGAAAAAGTTGAGTAGATAGATTGTGCCAGAGTTCATCCACATCACATTTATTTCCCTCATTCCGCATCCCATATCCATCAAAAGCTTCCTCTTCCTTCCTCGACCTCATTCAGGACTTTTGTTCTCCAGCAACTTATACATAACTGACACAGTAACAGGTTAGATGCAGCACCATTTTGGATCTGCACTGTATCTTCTTACTCGCATTGACAAGCGATGTGAACATGCTACTTGCTGTAATTCAGCCAATTGTAAAACGCTGGCCACAGCTGTCTCGCTTCCCACAGACGCGTGCGTACAGCACCATCCATGAAAACCCTCGATGCCAATCCACACAGTCGATGAAAAGGCAACAGCTTCAAAAGGCAGCTGTGGATGCTTGGCAAGTAGGGCTGTATCTTCTTACAGCACCTTCTTCCCCCGAACACCAGGGACCAGCATCACGACTGTATTTGGTCTGGACCATGGTTTGTACACATTGGTGACGCTGGGGCGTTAAGTTTCGGGGGAAAAGGTAGTTGATCGATTCCAACATGTGTGACTGGCCGCACAGACTGACCCTCTCCTCAACACCTCGGCCCTGCTCTCACTTATTACAGACGTTGGCGCTTAGGATTTAGCAACTCGAGGCACGATCTCTTCTTCCTCATGGCAATGCACTTACGTAGCAAGGTCAGACGGCGAAACCGTGGAAAAATCACCCCAGAAGAGAGGCAGAGAGAAACATTCACGAACATTCAATCAGGCACACTATGACAGAACTAGGAGGAAAATTTGCCACTCCCTCACCGATCCACCAGCTGAACGGTCATCTCACAAGGAGACCTCCTGGAGTCGGGTTTGACGATTAGGGGGGAAGATTTGTGTTTGATCATGATGCTGTGGTGGTATTACTACAAATGGACAGTGCGGAAATGACCCGACCAGGTGAAGCTCGACACCTTTTGAACACACCTGCCCTATACCACCAAAGAGGTCTCTCAGTTCATCAGTCGTAACGTCCAGAGGCAGCCCCGAGATGTAGATTCGAGTGTTGTCGCAAGTGTCTCCGCAATGTGCATCACACTGCTTGACTTTGACGGGCTCCACCTCCCCACCTGCACCCTCATTATAGCCACTCCCACCACCACCACCACCACCGCCATAACCCCC